AAAGTACTTTAAACTGTATAAATAATGTAAAATTAAATTGATTTAAACTGCCAATCATACGAATGTCTGCCTATGAGATACTAGGTGGGTCTATATTGTTAACCACCTGAGTTAAAACTAGAGTTGCAGGTGAAACTAATTAATTTCACCAAAAAACCGGTACACCAATCGGTGCACCATTGAAGATTAGTTTCATCTATAACTCTAGTTATATCATCGGTGCACCATTGAAGATTAGTTTCACCTGCAACTCTAGTTAAGACGGCATATTAAAGCACAGAATTGGACGAAAATTGGCAAAAATATTTTTTTTACAAAAAATCAATTATCTCACGAATTATCGGTCAGAATCACGTGATTTTGGTACCGTTCGATTCGTCTCGATGAGACGAATCGAATGGTACCAAAATCATGTGATTTTTATCGGATGATTCGGATAATCTGTTCGGATATCCGAATTGAAAAAACTGGATATCCGGATATAGCTTATCGGATAAATGGATGACGGATTGATCCGGATTGGAACTCTAAGGCTATGTATGAAAGTAAATCAAATTATTATACATGTACTTACCGCTAGTATCTGAAAAGGGGTACCTCACAACAAGCGGGGATATATCCGTTGTTACTATATCTGTAAGTAATGTTCCACTACGAAGAGGTGAGAGTTTATGATAGTCATCGAAGGAAAAAAATTCAATGTCACTTCGTTCGATATCTTGAAGTTCATTAAACTCTTTTTTGAGAACAGGGTAGAGGTCATCTAGTTCTGGAATTTGTGTTATGTCATTTTTCAACTTAACAGCTCTCGGTTTTTCCTCAAATAAGACCCACATTATTGATACAGAACTTGGGGACTGGTTATCGATGTTAGTCATGTTTGATAATCTCAAAATTTATTAAATAAATAAAACAGCCAATCAACAAAAGCCAACAAAAATATTAAAAGACGATTTTTTTTTCTTCGGGTATTTATAAAATGAACAATATTATCGGCATGATTTGATGTTTGTGTTACAACCATTGCATTTTTTGATGATCCCATATCATGACGTTCCGCTACAAATAAATGCAGAATTTATTCTGTCACATGTTAACAAAAATGTTCGAAGAGGTGTTAGTAAATTCTGCTTAAGCTACTGCTACGTATCATTATTACGTATCATTACTAATTTCGATTTATTTTGACTTAGTTATTTGAGGCTCCCTTAGAAAATTTTCACATTCACACCGCCTATATATGCTATTCGCTACTTTTTTACAGGTCTTACAATATAGGTGTGAATGATGATCGCATTCGTCACAAACCTTACACCCATGCCTCCACCCTCTAAAGATATGCCACTTTTCGATATAATTTTGGCTTTTTTTATTTGTATATGTATTATTATCGTTATGATTTTTCATCATTTTATATATTAACAGAAGAAAAAATAATTTATACGTGGCTAAAATTTTTTATCATACAAACCTGCAATGTGTGGCACTTTGTGTTTGTGACCCATTTACAAATAAATTATGCATAATGGTAAGCCTCATAAGGAATTTTTAATTTATTCTGCAAGTACGTACTGTACATTCAAAATTTTTTTCATCAATCTTGTTACCATTATGTAACATTGTACAGTATTTAATTCATTTTTACCCGTTACTAAAATTTGATCTTTCTGTTGAGGTAAATAAAGAAGAGAGTCCTGCTGGGCTTCTAAATATTATTTTGCGATTTTTGATGTCTATTATGTTTACCTATGGGATAACTGTAGATTTTTTTTATTAACAGTATCGGTATAACGATAAGGCTTTATATACAAACTGTTAACCCATTTATTTTTACTTTTATTTAACGTTAATTATTCGACTTATATATGGAATTTCAACAAATTTTTGTTTTATCATTATCGTTATTACTAGTATTCACTTATAATAATAATATTTTTTGGTTTATTTGACATTAAGTGTGAACTCAAGTTCACAGGCGCAGTAATCACATGATACTAAAACACCTATTAATTAGAACGAATTATCCTGGCTATTACGTATTCAATCTCTTCCCAACTTAATTTTGATATAGATGATGCTGAAAATGTTTTAATACGAACTATCATTTCTTTTCCCCTAT